CCATGATAATGTAATGAATGGGTTACGCTGGTATAATAAATGACTGAAAGTTTTCATAGAAAAGTACATAGTGATTAATGTACTGATACAGTGATAACAAATCCTTCAACAGATTATTTGTTTCCAGATTACAGTGCTATTTTCTTTAATTAGTCCTCTAAAGGATTATGCATCAGATTTTTTTTCTTAATAAACAGGCCTTTGAAATGCCATGTTGTCAGTATTTTCAAGTTATTCACTAAAGTACTAAATCCTTGGAATTACATAGTAAAAAATCAATTAAATTTTAATTCTATAACTTCTGGGCTTTTACAGTACTTATTTCAATGTTAAAAACATCCAAGTTGTCATTTTTGTGGATTTTTTCTTTACAGCTTTCTTTGCAAATTGTTTTCTTAAACTTGAGTTTTACTGGTGAAGGAAAGTGTGCAGTTTGATGGCACTTCCCATCTGTCGATCTATCTGTAGCATAACAGCTTCCAAATGAAGCATTCAATCAGCAAAAAGTATCTAGAAACTTCAGTGAATAGAACATTTATGATTATATGGGGGTTTTTAGCAAAATCTAAAGGAGGAGATGAAGGAAGTATGCTACTTACGATGTCTGATCAATGAGGCAGTAGTTTTAATTAAGAATCTTTTCTATAGGAGAAAAATCAGTTTTCTATAGGAGAAAAATCAGTTATTGACAATTTCCTCAAAAGTCTTCCACTGCCACACCCAGGGAAGAAGAATGGCAAGGCATGGATCCCATCACACAGCATGGTGGTGTGGTACAGGAATTCATGTGATAGGGCTGACTGGAGTTGCGTTCCATGAAGAGACATTCTGAGAGTCTCTAGAATATGCACTGAGCACGGTTTATAGAAGCAATGGACTGTGATTTTGTGACATTATACATAACAGAAAAGCATAGAAATTGCAATAGCGATGATCCCCCCTCCTTTTTTTTTTTCCTCTCCTGAATTCATGTCAGTGAAAAAATGTGGAGGACAGTAATCAGTAGCTACCTTTCCAGCAAGGTGCACTGTGCAGCCCAATTGTTCTGTACTCTTTTTGTTCTTTCAGTTACCCAGGACATCTCTCTATTACCTGCTCAGTTCTTTTCCTTACAAAGCCAGGGAGACATGTCAGTACAAGCCTCCAGCTTTGTTAGGAGTTAACACAGACTACTTATTTTGTAGGTCATAGGAAATAGCACTGATTGACACTGCTGCCTTCGGGGAACATTGTGTTAAAGATTTAAACCCCATCTGAAGGGGAAGAAGAATATTTACAGTTTGTATATATATGTATATATATTTCACCTTCTTTTAAGATGATGTCAAGCTTTATATTACAAAAAGGTCAGTCATAGAATGGTTTGGGTTGGAAGAAACCTTAAAGATCATCTAGTTCCAACCTCTCTGCCTCAGGCAGCAGCACCCTCCACTAGCCCAGGTTGCTCAAAGCCCCGTCCAACCTGGCCTTGAACGCTTCCTGGGAAGGGGGCATCCGCAGCTTCACTGGGCAACGTTCTAGTGCCTTACCACCCTCACAGTAAAGAATTTCTTCCTTATATCTAATCTAAATCTACCCTCCCTCAGTTTAAAATCATTACTCCTCCCTACACTCTTTGATAAAGAGTCCCTCCCCATCTTTCCTGTAGTCTCCCTTTAAGTACTGGAAGGCCACTATAAGGAAGCTTTGTACTCAGGTTGTACTCATTGTTCTGTACCAGTGACCTAGAATTTAGCCGTTGCAGGGGATATATAGATAGATACGATTTTTAAAATGGCTTTCTTACCCAAGTAGTCAAAATTTTCCTTTTTGGTTATCTGTCTCACTAATAACAAATAGTAATTGTATACTCTAAATTTTCCTTTAAATTTGAAAATCTATTAAAAGCATTGATGACTGTTGCAATACCTTCTGTTAGCTCTTCAGTCTTTGGCAGAATTTTTTTTAATGTAATACCTGGTTCTTGGCAGATAACGTGGCTTGACCTTGCATAGTACAGGCAGGTTGCTCCTATAACTAGAGAGCATAGTCCAACGCAACATCCTTGTTGCTGAATTGGAGAGAGATGGGTTTGATGGATGGTGGATAAGGACTAGGCTGGATAACTGCATCGAAAGAGTAATGGTCAAGAGGTCAATGTCCAAATTGAGATCAGTAACAAGTGGTGTCCCTCAGGTGTCCATATTGGGAATGGTAGTGTTCAATATAATTATTAATAATGTAGATAGTGGGATTGAGTGCATGCTCAGCAAGTTTGCAGATGACACCAAGCTGAGGTAGTGCATTTAATACACTAGAAGGAAGGGATGCCATCTAGAGGGACCTTGAGAAACTTAAGGAGAAGTCCCATGTAAACCTCATGAAGGTCAACAAAGCCAAGTCAAGGTCCTGCACCTGCATTGTGGGAATGCAGAGTATCAAAGACAGACTGGGGGATGAATGTATTGAGAGCAGCCCTATGGAGAAGACTTGGGGATCCTGGTGTTTGAAAAATTGAACGTGAGCCAGCAACGTGTGTGTGCAGCCCAGAAAGCCAGCTGTATCCCAGGCTACATCAAGAGAAGTGGAGCTAGCAGGGTAAGGGAAGTGATTCTGCCCCTCTACTCTGCTTTTGTGAGACCCCACCTGGAGTACTGTCTTCACCTCTGGGGTCCCCAGTACAAGAAAGTCATGGACCTGTTAAAACAGGTCCAGAAGAAGGCTACGAAATTGATCGGAGAGGTGGAACACCTCTGCTATGAAGAAAGGGTGAGAGAGCTGGGGTTGTTCAGCCTGGAGAAGAGAAGGCTCTGAGGAGATCTTATTGCAGCTTTTCAGTATTTAAAGAGTAATTACGAGAAAGATGGAGAGAGACTTTTTGCCAGGCCTGTAGTGACAGAACAAGGGAAAATTATTTTAAACTGAATTAGTGTAGGTTTAGATTGAATACAAGAAAAAAATCTTTTACAATGAGGGTGGTGAGACCCTGGAGCAGTTTGCCCAAAGAAGTTGTGAATGCCCCATCTTTGGAAGTGTTTAAGGTCAAGTTAGTTGGGGCTTTGAGCAAACTAATCTATTTGGAGATGTCCCTGCTTGTTGCAGGAGGGTTGGAATAGATGATCTTTAAAGGTCCCTTCTAACCCTAACCATTCTGGATTCTATGGTCTATTTACAAACAGATGGTGTTTCCCTGTCTTTGAGTCCCAGGCTCGTTTAGGTTGAAACCGTATTCTTGAGATTCTTAGCCTAACCCCCCTACTTAGGCAGGTTCAGCTAATGTGTGTTTCTCAGGACTGTGTCCAGTTGCGTTTTGAATGTCTTCACAGATGAAGACTCTGAAATCTTTCTGGGGAACCTGTTCTGGCATTTAACACTAAAAATCTGTTTCGTCAAGTTCAAAACAAATTTCCTGTTTTCTGATTTGTGCCCATTGCCTCTTGTCCTGTCGCTGAGCGCCACTGAGAAGAGTCTGGTTCCTTTTTATTTCCTGCCATCAGGTATTTATATACATTAGAAAGATCCATTTTTTTTACCAGGAGGTGCTGTTAAGATCCCAATAAGAAAGACTCTTAAGGTATCATTTAAAATAGTATGTATTAGAGCTTACACTGTAAAGTGAGAATGGTGTAGACAATCTTGCATCTGTTTAGACAGTGGGAGCCTCAAGTGGTGTAGCATTGAATGGGTCACTGGTCTAATAGACCGTGCTAGGAAGTCTCTGCCTGTAGTAGATTTTTATTTTGGTCATTTTAGCTGTAACAGGATTTTCTTAGAAGGAAACAACTCTGTTCATTATATCTGCTGGCAAACAGAAAGGATGTCCACATAAGAACTTTTTGGAGCACTTATAGATAGAAAAAGGCAAGTCCGCACAGGTGGCATAATTGCTGGTACCGAGTTGGAGCTGTCTGTGGCCTCTATTGCAATGTGGTGACTGTTCATCCTGTGGTCAGGGATGTTGTGCAGCATAACACAGGCTTGGGCTCACTCCAGTTAGCTGTTGTGTGGATCACTAGCACTTTGATGTACGACAGTCTTTCCATCAGGATCACTGCAGGTCCCTCATAGTCCTGAAAACGGTAATCTGATATATTAGGTGTACTTCAAAGCCAGCATGTTTGGCTTGGTTTTCTGTGAGCTTTAATGAGAAATTATTTAATGACTTGGCATATGGTTGTTTCAATATTTGCTTTTCTCATTAGTAATAAAGAATGCTTAGGACCTTGCCACTTGCATGAGGAGCAGTAATAGTGTTTTGTTTGCAATGATGTGCTAACAGAGAAATAAAATGGAAAAATAGTAAATATGGGTTAGACTTAAAATACCCTACTCTAGCATTTTAGCTCAGTATTTATTAAATATGTCTGTGTAGCAATATGTTTATAATTGGTTTTTATATGTCTTTAGGCTGTTGCAGAGCATTTGCAGGGCTGATCATGAACAGAGACTTTTAACTGCCATTTGTTATGTTGTCTTCTCAAATAGTTACCTGTGATACTTCAAACTACCACAGGAGGTCTAAGACATGCAAATACGTTTCTTGTTAATAGTAAATAAGTAGAAAAGTCAGTTCTTTTTCATGTACACTGAGGAGAAAAATGTTCTTTTTGATCTACTAGTATGTTATTTTGTTTACTAAAATGAAATTCTTGTATCTGATTTTGACTCTGGTAATTGTTAAAAACAGGTGCTAGATATCATTTCCAGAGCTTGTGTGAAAATTTGCACAGTGCTCTATCAACATACATACTGTTATGTTGTAAGCTTACTTTTCTGATAGAAATTTTATATATGGCATATGTCAATATTTTATTGTATACCAAGTTTTCTAAACTCTGTTTTATAACTTCATGTCATTTTATAACTTCAGGTCATAGATTTAAAACTTAACGTCATGCTTTTGTTTGAGCAGGCTGAATATAATGCTTCATTAGCTCAATTTCTACTGAAATATATCTTATAGAAACTGTATCCTACATATTTGCACAGACTGAAAACCTTCTTTCTTTTTCTTCCCATAGGATAAGAAATGGGTTCTCAATCACGAAGATGTCACATTGGGAGAATTACTGGGCAAAGTAAGTAATCAAGTGAGCTAAATAACATTTAAACAAGCATGTATTAATCATTAAGCCTATACATTTCCTGTTTGCCTTTTACATTACTGTGGTATTCTTATATCAATTCTTTTACTTTAATAAACAAGACAGCATTGTGCTTTAAATAAATGTAAATCACGTTTACTGGTAAATTAGATAATATTTGTGCTGAAAGTGTTAAACTAGCATATGTGTTTTTTCTATTTTGGAAGGCTTTTAAGCTAATGATTTCTGCAAAGCAAGATGTAGCTGTTTTACTTTGTGTGTCTTACAAAATGTTACAAAATATAAATAAAGCCATATAAATAGATTTATGCTCATGTACTGATAAAATTTATGTATTTATATAAAATTTGATAAAAATTACTAAATATATGTTAAAACAAATGTTTGTTGCTTTTGTATGATTTATTGAGTGTTAGGTAATTTCACAATCAAGCATGTATGAAATTAATTATTGTATAATGTAGTACATATCAAAAATTCTGCTTAGGAGCTAGAAGTCTTTAAAATGAGGTATGCCCTGTGCCTCACTTACATTTTTAGTACCTTTGCACCTACAAAGACATTTGCAAGTGCTACTCTGGACATGACGTTCCAAAAGATTTCCCAAAACCTGAAAAACAGGCTTTAATAAAGGAAGAGACAAATGGAAGTAATAATTGCCTTCTTACCATGATACACAGTAAAAGAATTGATAAACATTTAAAGAAATGGGGGAATTAGAAAATTCTGTTACCCAGGATAAAATCTCTTTAGCAGTGTAAGTTGAAAAAAACATTGTCTAACAGTATCTCCATAAAATTCAGGTACTGTTACAGCTTCACATTCTTAAACAGAATGGTATCAATGGAGAAAAATAAAGATATTTCTGGCGTTAAAAAAGCTTTGTCTTGCTAAAAAGTAAATATGAATTAGTCTTGATGAGTAAACACAAAGCAATCCGAAAATGTATTAATTTAGTAAACTGATTTTACATGTACATTGCATGTTTTTGGCACAAAGCACTCAGTACTTAAAAGTGATCATAGAAGGGTATGTTCTTTAAAAAGTACAGAACAGGATAAAATCTTTTTTTCAAACACAGTATAAATCTGTTATGTATCCATTTCTAAAAAGAAATAGTCAAACTGGAAAAGATAAGAATGACAGGATCATCAGCATCTGTATGACAAAATGTTAAATGAAGTACAGCCGTTCACCATGGAAGTGAGAAATCTGATGGTCTATAAATTCTTGAGTGTCCTGGAAGAGATGAGGGGGGAAATCATACAAACTTAATGCATAAGAGGATGCAAGCTTTAGAAGAGATGAAGATTTTCTTTCACCTCAGGAGAGAATGGTCTGTTTATTTACTCAGTATTAATTCTGTAATACCCTACAAAATGAAAGTTACATGAAAGGAACATGTTATATTAAAAAAAAAAAATCATATATATGATAATAATTAAATATTTTAAATAAAGAAAAAAGGCATTTTTAATACTTCAGTAGTCCTTAAGGTGTGTTCAGCTTTCACTGTAAATAAGTCTGATGAGAAGGCTAGAGGAAAAGTGTGTTGGGAGTGACTCAGCTTAGTTGCCTTTGGGTGTCTCTTGCCATTTTAGATATAAGAGGTAGTGTCTTGGCCTCTAGAATTGCTATTTTAGAAGGACAGATTGCTGTCATAGATCCTTTGCCTTACTTGCCAGCTATATCTTCCTTACCCTAAGATATGTAAATAATACTGGAAACCTGCATTTAGGCCTAAATTTCTTCCCCTGGTTATAGCAGCACATTACTGTTTTCCATCTGTGAGTTTCTTTTTTCTCTTTTCAATCTTTTTACGTTGGCAGTATGATATTCAAATGCATATGATACAATGAAATCTTCATCACTCAGGAAAGAAAGAAAAACATTTCCAGCAGAGTTTTGCTGGTTTTTGAAGTCATATGCAGCCCCAGATACCAGGAGGCAGAAGTGGAATTTATGTGGAGATTTATCAGACATAGATTTAAAATTGAGTTTGATTTATTTTTTGCGAAATATAAAATTTAACTAAAAGTATTAGAACTTCAGTTGTTTTTTTGTTTGTTTGTTTGTTTTTCTCTTAGGTTTTTTCATTGATACCAGTGTTTATTTGTATATCCCACAATTTCCTTCTTCCTTCAATTTGTGTCCAAATTATGTTTTCTTTTGTTTTTATTTAGGTAAAATATCTGATGGAGATTGTTGTATGATCTTTATTGTTTCAGGTTTTTTCTGTGAAAGCTAAAATAAACAACTTACCTTCGAGGTATGTTGTTGAAGACTTAAAAAATCTGATTATAAAAGGAGCTACCTTCTAAAGTCTTGTCCAAATGTGACACCTTACATAATTGTCTTTATAGAGCAGTGCTGAGCTTAGCTTTTAAAAACACTGTCCATCACATAACTTTTCCGGTGCAGAGACTAAAGTACATTTTTTCCCAGTGGTTTTAATTTATGAACAAAATTAATATTTAGTGACTTTATTTTTCCTATTTTACACTTTTTCTTTCTTGTATATGTGAGAACATTTGTGTTATTTTGATTTTTTTTGTCTGAGTTTCACAGGTCATCTTTTGGTGTTTTACAGACTGAAAGTTTAAAACTAGCGATAAAATACAATAGCATGAAAATGTAAGAGTGCAGGAGTAAGAATAAGAAAAAAATGTACTACTATCCATATCTGTTGACTTTAGAAATTTCTAAGATGTTTTATGTGGAAGTTGTAATTACACAATTAATGTATTTTTTTGTCTCTTTCCAGCAAGGTCAAAGTAGAACTCATATGCTGTGTCCATATAATAGATGTACTGTGTTTGTAGAACTACATTGTTAGGGGCAGGTACTGGAAGAACACCTTGTTTGACTTCATAAACACATTTCAAAGTTCCATACCAGTTACGTTAGTTGTCTACATTAATTTTCTGGAGACTTGTGAAGATTTTGTTTTCTTAGGATGATTTTTTTTTTTTTTTGTCCTGATTTCAGGGTAATTTTGGTGAGGTGTATAAGGGAACATTAAAGGATAAAACTCCTGTTGCTGTAAAAACTTGTAAAGAAGATCTTCCTCAGGAATTGAAAATAAAATTTCTGTCAGAAGCCAGGTAGGTTATCTAAATTTGATTGAAATATACACTTGTGTTGGGTTTTTTTTTTAAACCTTTATTACTAGATGGATTTACAAAATCCGACCTTCAGAAAAACTCAGAGAAACAGTAGTCAAACTTCTTCCTTCTTTTCTCTCCTTCACATTCCACAGCTACTGCCCCAGTAACTAAACAGAGCCATTTTTAACATGTGAATGCAGTAGCATCTGTACTTGCTGAAACTACAACTTAGGCAAAGCAATATGGCTATGCCTATAATTGTTTTAAGTGCTTCCATTTAGAACTTCTTCTGAGATGTTCCCTGAAGATTAGGATAAGAAGACTGGAAGATGCTGTTAATTTCAATGTGATTATATGTGTCATAAGTCCTACCTTACATGCATGACTAATATCAAATGTGGCTAGGTTACCCCATTTAGGAATTTTCTCTTTGTAAGATGAGTTCACTCCAGTAGAGATATTCTGTGCTGTGTCAGGAAGCATGTGACTGCATACTTATTTTTCAAGTAACAGCCATGGCACAATATGCTAAGTATTCTGAATATAGGCTAATGTAGATAGGTAGGTTCTGAGACGTCAGAGTAGAGGGGTGTATTGAGACAATTTCACAATTGTTTAAATTAACTTTCTCCCTCTTTCTATGAAGCTTCATAGTTTTACTTTTTACTCCCAAACTAGTATGATTAATATGGAAAAGTAAAAGATTCTATCTACATTTAGAGAATGAAGATCAGCCACTATATATATTGAATAATTTTAAACAGCTCATAACTTCTATTCCTGGTCCTCAAACAAAAGGAATAAAGAGGAGGTGCTTTAAGTCAGCAAAGAAGAAACATTTAAGTTACAAGGTCTCTGTAGAATTCTTCCTTGACCTTTATTTCACTTACAAATCATAGCATGATTGTTTTAGCCTGTAAATGTTCTTATTAAAGTCATTTGTGTAAAAACATGTAATTTTTTTTTCTAATTTCCAAAATTAAAATTGCTGTCCTTATATTTTTCTAAAACTTTTGGTATTAATTAATATCTTGAAGTAAAATTGAAATGAGTGTGCTTTTGACAAGTGCAGCAGGGTGTGCATGTTTTCTTGATGTAGCTCTGCTTCTGGTCCACCACTGAAATGATACTTAATTGCAAGAGCTCTTGAGAAGCTGCAAACCTATAAGGCCATTTTTCAGTTATATAGACAAATGTTATGTAGACAAATGGTAAAATTGCAGAACGAGTAATATAGTGTTCTTGATTTATTACTGAATCATTATGCCCTCCATTTCAAACAGAATGACTGATCCATTATGTTGATTTTTTCCTTTATGATAACAGTAATGACATGTTTCATTAAAATAACATTAAGGGTTTAAGATATTTTCCTATAATATTTAATTAGTTTGTACAATAAAGTTTACTAATATAATGAAATTACTGTGTGTTTTGCAGAATACTCAAACAGTATGATCATCCTAATATTGTAAAACTTATAGGAGTTTGCACACAACGACAACCTATATATATTGTTATGGAACTTGTTCCAGGTAATTTTTTTCCTTTTTTTTCAGCATATTTTCATAGGTATTGTTGCCATAATGTAAATTGTATTGTTTTCTATTTATCTTAATCTGCATTCTTATGACCCATCTCAGAAGTCAGCTGTGTCATGAATCTTTGAAAATACTAGGTTCTACTAGCTTTGGAGTGGAGCGCAGTCCACAGATCTGAGTTTTTCTGTACCCATTTGAGACAACAGAATTTGTTGAAAGATAGCTCTGTCTACATTTTCTTCCTGATAAGATATTACATGGAACTTGCTTTAACAATACAGTTATACAGAGAATGTTGAGATGCTTGTATGTAAAGAAACTTCACGGCTGAGTAATGTTTCCCTTTTAATAACTCAGATTTGGATCATCTTTCACAGAATCACAGAATCATCTAGCTTGGAAAAAAACCTTGCAGATCATCTAGTCCAACCATTAACCTAACACTGACAGTTCCCAGCTACACAATATCCCGCAGCGCTAAGTCAGCCCGACTTTTAAACACTTCCAGGGATGGGGACTTTGCCCTGGGCAGCCCATTCCAATGCCCAACAACCCCTTCTTCAAAGAAATACTTCCTAATATCCAGTCTAAACCTTCCCTGGCACAATTTGAGGCCATTCCCTCTTGTCCTATCGCTTGTTACTTGGTTCAAGAGACTCATCCCCAGCTCTCTGCACCCTCCTTTCAGGGAGCTGTAGAGGGCGATGAGGTCTCCCCTCAGCCTCCTCTTCTCCACACTAAACACCCCCAGTTCCCTCAGCTGTTCCCCATACGACCTGTGCTCCAGACCCTGCACCAGCTTTGCTGCCCTTCTCTGGACACGCTCGAGTCATTCAGGGGCCCAAAACTGAACACAGGAATCGAGGTGCAGCCTCACCAGTGCCGAGTACAGGGGTCAGATCCCTTCCCTGTCCCTGCTGGCCACGCTATTGCTGACACAAGCCAGGATGCCATTGGCCTTCTTGACCACCTGGGCACACTGCTGGCTCCTGTTCAGCCGGCTGTCAATCAACCCCCCCAGGTCCCTCTCTGACTGGCAGCTCTCCAGCCACTCCTCCCCAAGCCTGTAGCGCTGCTGGGGGTTGCTGTGGCCCAAGGGCAGCCCCCGGCATTTGGCCTTATGGAAACTCCTGCAGTTGGCCTCAGCCCATGGCTCCAGCCTGTCCAGGTCTCTCTGCAGAGCCTCCCTACCCTCGAGCAGATCAACACTCCCACCCAACTCGGGGTCATCTGCAAACTGACTGAGGGTGCACTCGATCCCCTCGTCTAGATCTCTGTAAAGATGTTAAACAGGAGTGACCCCAAAACCAAGCCCTGGGGGACACCAGTTGTGACCAGCCGCCAGCTGGATTTAACTCCGTTCACCACAACTCTCTGGGCCCGGCCATCCAGACAGTTTTTTACCCAGCAAAGCGTGTGCCCATCCAAGCCATGAGCACCAGTTTTTCCAAGAGAATGCTGTGGGAAATGGTGTCAAAGGTCTTCCTAAATTCAAGGTAGACAACATCCACAGCCTTTCCCTCATCCAATAAGCAGGTCGCCCTGTCACAGAAGGAGATCAGGTTTGTCAAGCAGGACCTGCCTTTCATAAACCCATGCTGACTGGGCCTGAGCATCTGGTTGTCCCCCATGTGTTGTGTGATGGTACTGAGGATGAGCTGCTCCATCAGCTTTCCAGGCACCAAAGTCAAGCTGACAGACTTGTAATTTCCCAGATCATCCTTCTGACCCTTCTTACAGATGGGCATTTTCAGTCTGTCAGAACCTCCCCAGTCAGCCAGGACTGCTGGTAAATGATGGAAAGCGGCTTGGCGAGCACCCCAGCCAGCTCCTTCAACACCCTCGGTTGCATCCCCTCTGGTCCCATAGACGTGTGTGTCTGTGTGATGCAGCAGGTCACTAACTGGATTGTGGGGTGGTCGTTCTCCCAGTCTCTGTCTTCTGGCTGAGGAGGCTGGATTGCCACAGTACAACTAGTCTTGATATTAAAGACTGAGGCACAGAAGGCATTAAGCACCTCAGCCTTTACCTCATCGCTCATTGCCATTTTTCCTCCTGTGTCTAGCAGGGGATGGAGGCTCTCTCTGGTTTTGCTGTTCACATACTTACAGAAACATTTCCAGTTATCCTTGATTGCTGAAGACAGGTAAATTTCCAGCTGGGCTTTAGGCCTCCTGATTTCCTCCCTACATAGCCTCACAGCATTTTTGTAATCACTGTGAGTGTCTAGCCCCTTCTTCCAAAGGCTGTAAACTCTCCTTTCCTCCCTGAGTTGCAGCCAAAGCTCCCTGTTCAGCCTGGGTGGTCTTCTCTGGCGATGGCTTCTCCTACAGCACCTGGGGACCGCCTGCTCCTGAGCCATTAACACTTCCTTCTTAAAGAGTGCCCAGCCTTCCTGAAGCCTTGTACCCTTCAGGACCATCTCCCAAGGGATTCCGTGAAGCAGGTGCCCAAACAAGACAAAGCCCTTTGGAAGTCCAGGATGTCAGTTCTGTTGCCCCCTGTCCTGGCCTCTCTCAGAATAGAGAACTAGTCGGCCTCCAGCAGCCACATCCTCCACCAGTCGTTCTCTATTCACAAAGAGGAGATCCAGCAGGGCACCTTCTCTGGTCAGTTCATATATCTGGTTGGTTTTATATTTGCCAATATAAAAGTTTTTTCTTTACTAAAATATATTTTTCAGTTTGTGGGTTGCTCTTGATTTATTTTTGGAATCTTGAGTTCATATTATTCAGCAATGACTGGAGAGAATTTCAAACTGTTGGGATGATAACAGCTTTTGGGCCATTTTATCTTTGTTCATTTTCTCAGCAGCTAAAAAATAGGAGGGTTTGGTAACCCAGTACTGCTTAATATGCAACACTATGTTTGTTTTGTATATCACTGGATTTCTCTTCAAAATTATACAGCAAGCTGTTTTAAGAACCTTTCCATTCATGAAGACTTAGATTGTTTCTAATTCTTGACTGCTGGCTTTAATACAAATGTACTAATGAAATCTTTGACCTATTTGAATTTTATGCCTTTATTCAATTAGATTATATTAGATTATTATTCTTGTACATGTGATTAACTTTATAAAATGGAGACTAAATACAACATCCTGGGTTTTAAGGCATACTTTGGTAATCAGCTTCTCCAGACATCTCTGAAAATAAAAATAAATCCTGATTTTTAACACCTTTATCATTTTGGTTCAGGGTTTTCAGAGCCTAAGGACAAGTGGTTGAAATATACTAGTGGAATTTGACGAGGAATTAGTGCAAACCTTTCATTCTCATGCCTATTTTTCAGTCCAAGTGATTCCAAAAATTCTTCTGTCTCCTGGCTTGAATTTGGTGGTGTGTAAGTCCTCTGGCTAGCTTCTGTGCTTGCCTGCCCTCATAAACACTGTATTGTGATCAAGCCGTCACATTTTCCTGTGTTCTCTTATACCTTGGCTAGCACATCATGAGACTGACCAAATCAGCTAGAAGCTGTAAGGATGCCAACTCTGAGGAAATTGGCAGGGTAAAGATGAAACATTTACTTAGCATGTTTCAGAGAAGCAATGATTCTGATGTTACTGGTTTTATGTTTTGTAATTACAAGTTTGGATGAGATTACCTAAAATAATTATTAGTGCTCTGATTTAGTATTTAATGCTGCCCTTAAAAGAACAGAATAGTGTTAGGCTTGTTGGCTTGCACTCACTCAGTACTTTGTATCTGCTTTGTCTGTGTTTTGTCTTAAATGTGTTTATGCTTGAAGGTGTTTAAGCCATTTGACATTCATTTTAATAACTTAAAATGACTTATGGCTGAGAAGGTGTGTAATAAATAAATGTCTGACAGCTTTTTACTGTGGAGAAAATTAGAAACATCTTCATAAAATGTGGGATTTCTCCTGTATTTTCCAAGTTATCTTTAATGTTTGTACTTGCTGGTTTTATATCCCAGATACCTGTAGGTTGTACACTTACTATGTCTTTTGAGACTACTAGGGTGTGGCTTAACAGCAGCTAATTCTGCTTTTCATTCAGATTCAGATTTTAGTCCAGATTCTTAATTCAGGTATTAAAAATGTATTTTGAAACTTAGCATTTCATGTAGAGAGATGCTACTTTGTTAGTGATTCTGTCATAAACTGTCTCTACAGATAAAAGTTTTTCCCTTATTGCAAATGTAAATGGGATTAAAAAGTATGCATCTGGGTAAAGTCATCAATGAAAACAATATAGAAGGTGGCAGATCCATTGTTATGCAAAAATAACCCAGATTTTGCCAACAGATAACAGAAATAAAGCAAGTTGTCAAAGACAATTACCTTTTGTAGGTAGATCCCTTTTCTTGTGTGTGTGTGTGTGTGTGTGTGTGTGTGTGTGTGTGTTAATAAGTGACGTGTGCTAAAGTAGGAATCACACTGATACAGAAATTTCAAGATGAGTGATGTAGCAAGTATTAACTGAAATAATAAAAAAGGTAACAGACAATATTGCAGATAAATAGCCAAAGTGAAAAGGTAGATGAGAAATTATATATATTAATGAAAAAGAACTGTCATTGACGTACCATTCACTTACTTGCTGTTGGTCATACTGAGCTTACTGTATATATCCAGCCAGTGTCAATCCATCACAGATTACTTCAGTACAGAAAGATTTGGTTATCTTTTTCAGAATCCTCCACATGTCAAAAAATGAGGGAAATATATTAATGCAACACATATCTGTATTATATAAATTCTCTTTTTATATGTGGAAAAATCCATCCTATCTCTGCCTCGACTGGCTTGTTAGGGGCCAAGTCTGTTTTCTGTCTGCAGGTCTTTCTGCAGGAACCTCTACAGGTGAGAAGGGAAGGAACATCCTGTAAGCAGAATGTGGCATCATTTTCTAGAGTTGGTTTGGATAAGGTTACTCTAGTCCTTCTAGCTTCTCAGACAACATCTAATGAAAAAACCAGTCCTTTAAACTGAGAAAGGAGAAGGCCTGAAAAGACAGAACTTGGGGGGGT